AAAATGGAAGTTGCCTGGGGAGCTTCATACACACCACAATATTCCATCCAATCTGGCTAATTCAGGCAGAAGCTACAGGGTGGGGAGCAAGCATGTGTGTGTGTGAGAACGTGCGTGTGTGTGTTTGAGCGTGTGTGTGTGTGTGTGTGTGCGCGCGCGTGTTTTTGTGTGTGTGCGTGTGTGTGTGTGTGCGCGCGCGCGTGTGTTTGTGTGTGTGCGTGTGTGTGTGTGTGCGCGCGCGCGCGCGCGTGTGTGTAGTTTCTCCTTCCCTCTGCTGATGCTTGCAGAATCGTGTGTGTGCGCGCGTGTGCGTGCGTGTGCGTGCGTGCGTGTGTGTGTGTGTGTGTGTGTGTGTGCGCGTGTGTGTAGTTTCTCCTTCCCTCTGCTGATGCTTGCAGAATCGTGTGCGCGCGCGTGTGCGTGCGTGTGTGTGTATGTGTGTGTTCATATGGCTTTCAGTTTTATTCCCCTGTGAAAACACGCTTTTGTCCATCTCCCCCCAATAACCTCTCCATTCTCCCTCTTCTGTAATTTGAAAGGTTTCACACCCGCAGCTAAGTTGCAGGCATAGTTTAGTAGATCGTGCCTACGCCATCCTAAGCCATCCAGATTGTCGGGTCATGAACGATTTGCTACGTTCGATTTTCCTCTCTCTTAAACACACGCCCACGGTATTTTACACACAGGAGTGTGGCGCAGGCCAGTGTGATACAGGCATGTGTTAATATAGTGTGTGTGGGGTGGCTGGAATACTAAAAGCAATGTGACACCACATTGAGATTTTTTTTAGTGAAGATTCTCTTTAAAATATGAACTTTTTTTTCTTCCATGAGCAAAGAAGTATGGGCATCCCAACCTTCCAGTGGCTACACCACTGAAAAAAGTGTTACCCGCGTGTGTGTGTGTGTGTGTGTGTGTGTGTGTGTGTGTGTGTGTGTGTGTGTGTGGGAGAGCTTGGTAATTAAAAACTCTTAACTGCTCTTTCAGAGAAGACGAATTTGCTTTTCAGCACCCAAGTCTTGAGACATACAGCCACCTGTGATTACAGCTCCAAGGTAGCCAGTGCATTGTTCTGTCTTCAGAGAGCATCCAAACATAGGTGGCATTCACTCACATGGACACATAATACATGCACATAATAAGAATTTTATAAAAAAAGAAAATGTCTCCATCTCTAATGTATATATTAGTTTTTAAAAATAGTTTTGATTCAAGATTCATTTCAGGATCATGTATGGCAATAAATTGTCTTTTCAGTCACCTTCAACTATTGATGCCATTTCTCTCTAATGATGGTTTTTAATGTTTTAACAGAGACGTTTCTTAAAAGACATAGCTGGTTATCTTGTAGGGTGTGCCTCTGTTCAGTTAATACTGATAATAAATTCTTTTCTTGCCTTGCAGATAAATTACCTAAGTAAAACATGTCCTTGGAGTCATGTCAAGTTGGTAGTGGTCAGTCTCTATCATATAACTAAAGGGCTTGCTGTCAAAGAGTAAATCATGTTTGTGGATGATACTTTGAATCCTTTGTTACTCTTTTGATTTTCAAAAGCCCAAGATTCATGGTTTTTTTGATAGCCACACATTTCAGTTTTTTGGGAGTATGTTTTGTGCCCTCTGTTATTTAGAGAAACTCTTCTTTATCCTATTAACTTGGATACCTCTTTAGCTTGTATTTCGCTTTATGTCTTTTCTTAGTTCTGTATTTTACCTTACGAGTGTGTATGTGCGCGAGCGCACGTGTGTGTGTGTGTGTGTGTGTGTGTGTGTGTGTGTGTGCGCGCACACGTGTGTGCGTGTGTTGTGTTTGGTTTTGAACCAAGCACCTTGTATGTGCTAGACAGTCACTGTCATTGAGCTGCATATTTCATGCTTGTTTTCGTCATTCTAAGGTGTATGGAGATCCATTAAAAAATGTGGGTTGTCATATTTATTTATTTATTGAGGGGCAGGGATGGGGTCTCCTTTCAAATGCAGGGATTATATTACCATGCCTGTCTCTTTCTGTTATTGACTTCTGAGTTTTACATGTTTTAGATACATTGCCTCCCATCTGGAGGGTGTCTTTTGACCTTGTCGGTCGTGTTAAGTCTTAGGCTTTGATAAAATATGTATTAATTATAGGTGAAATGAAATTTATTTTTATTTATTTGTTTAAAAAGTTCTCAAGGTAGTTACCCACTCTTTTCACAAGACAGTCACAATCTGAGCTTATATAGAACTTGTTAGACCTTAAATTTTCTCTTTTTCTTTCAATTTTATGTGTGTGGGTGTTTTATCTGTGTGTATACATGTGCACCACATGCTTGTAGTGCTGAGACCAGAAGAAGGTATTTGCTTCTTGTCAGAGCCTGCTCCAACGAGTCAGCTGGGTTACCTGAGTAAGGGTATGAGGATTGAGAAAAGGCAGATAAAGAAAGAGAGACAGAAACACGGGACAGATTCGGGAGGACTGCCCAGTCCATGCCTTTCAGCACACCAGATAGCCCCGAGTTTAATTTAGACTCTGCTGATATACAGACTGGAGGCAAAGCAGAACAAAGAGCAACACAGTCAATTAACCAGCCCCCTGCACTGTCCTTGAATCGAGGAGCAGCCAGGCTCACTATCTATCCCGTGAGTCCTGCTAGCAGCAAGCAGCTTCATTCCCTATCTCTATGTGCTTTTTGGCTGGCATCAGAAGCTTGTTCGTTAGATAATATGTTCTTTTCCATGGGCTTAATCACAACTTTCTCATGGCTCTCAAGGAGACTGAAACAAGCAAGCTTGAACTCTAATAATGCCTTCTAAGTCTGAATAGACTCCAGATGGAAACTGGGTCACTTGTGGGCTCCCACAGATTCTCTGGGACTGGAGTTAGAGATAGCTCTGAGTCTTCATGTGGGTGCTTGGAATTGTACATGGGTCCTCTGCAAAAAACAGCAAGTGCTCTTAACTGCTGAACCTTCTCTCCAGTACCCTCATTTTACTTTTAAGTCCTCTAAAATTTCTTGAGGGGAATTCTTTCCCTTTTAAAAATACTTTTTTTTTCCATTTCTGACACATAGGGATTGTATATAAATGGAGTATGCAGTGTGAGACGTGAACTTCCTAGCATTCTGTTCCTCTTCTTTGTTTAGTCAGCTGCCTTAATAGTAGGCTTTAAAAGTATGATTACATAAAATACCTCAAAGTTTACATGTTCAAGCATCCCTCCCCCTTTTTCTTGTAAGGTGGAAAAAGTGGTGGCCAAGCTTGAGTTTTCTTTTTAGTGGAAGAGCAAGGTGCGTCGTATTATGTTTGTTCTGGAGTGGGGATTCATGATTCATCCAGATGAATTTAGGAGCAGTAGATAATTGTTTTAGCCAACAGAACCATCTCAGACAGCTGCAGATGTGGTTTTGTTAGTCTTATTAGTTGTATGTACAGTCCATCAGTCATGACAGCTTGGAGAAAATCCATAGCTAGCCATGAAGGTCCTCATGGCTATTAACCTGCTACAGCATATATTTTAGGATACCCAGGAATTCATCATTGTTACTGTTTTTGACGCTGGGGCTGGAACACAGGGTATTAGACAGGGTAGGTCAGCACTCTTCCAAGATGCACTCCTAGCTCTGCCGTCTTCTTTTTGCACTGTGTTAAAGAATAATACTTCCTGTCCAGGAACTAAGTTCACTGCAGCCTCGTTTGCCACACATTTTGTGATAATAGCGTTATTTATTTATTTATTTACTTGTTTTTGGTTTTTCGAGATAGGGTTTCTCTATAGCTTTGGAGGTTGTCTTGGAACTCACTCAGTAGACCATTCCGACCTGAAACTCACAGAGATCCACCTGTCTCTGCCTCCAAAGTGCTGGGATTAAAGGTGTGCACCACACTTACCTGGTTTGTTTTACTGTATTTGGTTTTCTTCTGTTGATTGGTTGTTAGCTTGACTGCATTTTATCCAGTAGACTGGTCTTTTTATGCTGTTGTCTGGCCTTTGCTTGGTATGTTCTTTGGTCTGGTTTATGGTCATGTTAAACAAATGTTTTACATGTACTTAGAAAACATTTGGCTTTCAGTGTACATGACTTTTCATCCATCTGTTTGATAAGGCTGGCTACTAAAAATTTTTGCTGCTTGTCTTTGTCCAGTACTTTTCTGAATTTCCAATTCTGAAAGGAAATAAGTCCTTTGCTGTATTTGGATATGCTGATTTCTTTTTCTCTTTGAGGATTCTTTACCTTTGTTTTGTTGTATATTACTACTGTTGTGTTGCACTGTGAAGTCTTATCTGGCCAATACTGATTTTTTTCTCTTTAGCTTTGGATTGGATTTATCCATATGTCATTTCCTTTTCTTTCTGTTTCCCCTTCAGTCTCCTCTCTTTTGAAGAATTGTCTTTGCTTTTCTATTTTTTGTTTGTTTTACTCTCACTTCTGAATCTTGGTGAGTATCCCTTTAAGGGGGAATGGGCTCCCAAAGTCCATTCATGCACTAGGGATAAATACTGGTTCCACTGCAAGAGGCCCTAAACTGGCCAGGCCTCCTAACTGTCACTCATGTTCAGGGGGGGGGGGCTGGTTCTGTCCTATGCTAATTCCCAGTCTTTGTATGGTAGCTCACAACCATCTGAAACTCCAGTTCCAGGGGATCCCATACCTTCTTCTGATCAATGTAGAGTATTACAATGTAATGTCACTTCTTTTGAACCTGTACTTGGCTTCAGCCCTTGGCATTTATTTGAACTCCCTATTTTATGTATTGAAAAAGAGAGCAAATGAAATATACTCACTTAGCCCTTTATCATTTTCTCCTAGTTATATCTGTGCTTACCTAATGTGTCTTTTTCTTTCTTTTCAGTATGGAACATGAGGCTGAGAAGAATAGCTCAGAATGTTTCTAAAGAAGAAATTTCCTTTGAGGTAGAAATGGAAGGATTTAAAAGAGAGGGACCCTGCTTCCCCATTTCAGGTGATGATTGGGACTGTGAGAACAAGGACAGAAATTTGAGGCAGTCTCCCTTAATTGATGAGAAAACAGGGGCTCAGGAAGCAAACTGTGAGCATCTTGGTCTGGGGGAGCGTTTGAGTACAAACCCGGCCCTCCCAGCATCCCATACAACAAATGGCTTTCATGTTCATAACTCAGACATTAAACCTTTTGATTGTGATCAAACCTTACATAGTTGTCCCCAGAGTTATACACCTAAGGGAACTGGTGACGGTGACGCTTGTGAAAAAGCCTTTCATCCTTCCATGGAAGCCACTCAACTTGTAAGAAACAAAATGAGAGACAGACCCTATAAATACACAGAAAGTATTAAATCTTTAAACCACTTTACTACTACTCCCCTTTGTGATAAGAAAATTAAGAAAAGAAGCAAGAAATTTTACAAAGGTAAGGACTTTGGGGATGTCTTGTCCCTGAGCTCATCTCTTAATGAAAAAAGAAGTCAGTCCATTGAGAAACCCTACGAATGTACTGAATGTGGCAAATGCTTCAAACGGAACTCTTCTCTTGTTTTACACCATCGAACTCATACTGGCGAGAAACCGTATACCTGTAATGATTGTGGAAAGTCATTCTCCAAGAACTACAACTTGATTGTCCATAGAAGGATTCATACAGGAGAGAAACCCTATAAATGCAACAAATGTGGGAAAGCTTTTAGTGACGGATCAGCTCTGACGCAGCACCAGAGGGTTCACACGGGTGAGAAGCCTTATGCATGTCTAGAATGTGGGAAAACTTTCAACAGAAACTCATCCCTGATTTTGCACCAAAGAACTCATACAGGGGAAAAACCATATAGATGTAACGAATGTGGGAAACCCTTCACTGACATCTCCCACCTTACTGTTCATCTCAGAATCCACACCGGCGAGAAGCCTTACGAGTGTAGCAGGTGTGGAAAGGCTTTCCGAGACGGCTCCTACCTCACCCAGCACGAGAGGACACACACTGGAGAGAAGCCTTTTGAGTGTGTAGAGTGTGGAAAATCCTTCAACCGCAACTCACACCTCATCGTGCATCAGAAAATTCATTCTGGTGAGAAACCCTACGAGTGTAAAGAGTGTGGGAAAACGTTCATTGAGAGTGCATACCTCATCAGGCATCAGAGGATTCACACTGGTGAGAAGCCCTATTGTTGTAACCAGTGTCGTAAACTCTTCAGGAACATCGCTGGACTTATCCGGCACCAGAGGACTCATACTGGCGAAAGACCTTACGAGTGTAATCAGTGTGGTAAGGCTTTCAGGGATAGCTCCTGTCTGACCAAGCACCAGAGAATTCACACCAAGGAGACTCCGTACCAGTGTCTGAAATGTGGAAAGTCCTTCAGGCAGAACACTCACCTGGTTGTACACCAGCGACTTCATAACAGGGAGGGTCCCAGCCAGTGTCCCCAGTGTGGGAAAATGTTTAGAAGGAGCTGGTGTCTTGTCCGACATCAGAGAACACACCTTGAAGAGCAGCCCGTGGAAACGTAACGAACTTGGGTCATACTCTTCTTGAGTGAACTAACGAGATACATCTTTAGGTGTGGTTTCCCTTGTTAACAGAAAGGAATTTGAATATGAAATATTCTGTAATCCCATTAATTCTGTTACTAGGGAACTCCTGAAGAGAGGATTGGATGATAATGTAGAAAAGGCTTCAGGGATGATTCAGCCTATACCAAACATGTAGTGCATACACTGAAAGAAAGCACCCAGAAGTGAGGAAGATATTTCCCTAGAAATACCCATCTACCCTCACATCAGGATACTTAAATTGGGAAGGACCTGTGAATGCATGCAGTAGGTAATCGGTAGGAGGCATCTTTAATAGTGAATATCACCTTATTGCATATAAGCAAATGCTTATTAGGCTCAAAGCGTCTAAGTGTAATTAGGAAGAGAAGCTTTTGTCAGGAGTTTTTACTGTGTTTCCTGTAGCAGCAAAGGCATGGTGGTAATAGGTCTCACACGGTGCCCTGCAGCAACCACAGGATTTAGTTGAGTTTGCTGTTTGAATGCACTTCTGGAGCTGCCTCCAGAACGCTGAGGACTGCGGTAAAACTGGATGTAGGAGTTGCTTGGGATTGAAACGAAGTCGTCCCTCTTAAGGCTAAAGTCCTGTCAATGATGAAAAGGGCTGCTTCTAAGAAATAGGATCCATTGCTTTAGCTGTTGACAAGAAAATACTGAATTGTTGTATTTCGGTTATCACCTGCCTTCACCATTGTTATCATTTAGGACACTAATTTGTTTAGAGTTCAGGTCCTTTGAAGCAAAATCCAAAGGTTTTGTTGCCGTACTAAAAATACTTAGATCATTGCTAAAGAAGGCATGAAATGGATTATTATTACAATCATGGTAAGTGTGTCCATATTTGGTCGTCGGTTAGCAGTGGATGATGGAAAAATTTAATGGCTTTCTTAGGAGACTACAATTGTGTACCTTGTCCTTTTTTTATACATTTTTATATAATAATTTGATAATTTATATAAAAGTGAAGCTAAAAGAAAATGAATTTGGTGTTTTCTTAGTCCTTTGCCATTGGATAGAGGTCAAAGATATTGTTAGACCTCCTGCAAAGGCTAAATCATGGTTACAGGAAGCTGTGAGCATCTACAGGTGTGTATAGACGGAAGCCTCTCCAGAATCGGAGCATCCTGAGCCTACAATCATTTCTTTAGGAACTTGGAATATAAAGCTTATGGCATTCTGGAGGGAGAGGCTTACCAGTCTGAGGATAGGGAGGAGAAAGTTACAGAAAAATCTAGAATTATCCTAGCATGTTCTTTTTCAGTGCAACGCTGGCTGCATGAAAGCTAGTCAATTTGGTTGACAGCTTCAAAGGCCTGTGAATAGATCTCCTGGTAATTTTGACTTGGTCCTGTCTTTCTATCTTCTGGTTCCCATGGAGGGAGAATCGTACGTCTATTTTGAGATGATTAAGGCTACTGAGTAGATTCGTAAGGAAGTCAGACATCTTAGTCTTCTGTATGGATGCCCTTCTTTGACAGGAAGAACTATCGTATGACATAAGATGGGGATGAAGAGATAGTGGTTAAGAGCACTTGTTATCCTTGCAGAGGAGCTGGGTTCAGTTCTCGGCACCCACATTGTGGAAAAGCTATTGGTGCCTAAAAAATAGAGGCCAAAGATACTGTCAGGCTCCTACAAAGATAGCTTTTGGAAGAGTTAGTCATCTCAGAATAGTAAGAGTGCTGAGATTGATATATTTCTTTTCCTTACTTTTCAGCTCCATCATTAAAAAAGATTGGTCTCACGCTCCCATGACACACACAATCATACCATAACTCACAGATTGTCTCTATAGCAGTGGTTCTCAACCTTCCTAATGCCATGACTCTTCAATACAGGTCCTCATGTTGTGGTGCCCCCCAGCCATAAATTTATTTTTGGTGCTACTTCATAACTATAATTTTGCTGCTGTTATGAATTGTAATGTAAATATCTGTCTTCCAGTGGTCTTAGGTAAGCCCTGTGAAAGTCATTTAACCCCAAAGGGGTCACAACATACATGTTGCAAACTGCTGTTGTGTCGGGTTATGTGTATTAGTAAGACATATGGAAACCCCTAGTGGACTGTCTACATCGCTCAAGGGCTGGACACTTCGTGTTTGTTACTCTCAAGTAAAACATGAGTGTACCGCAGTGTTAAAGTTAGCAGGGTCTCTGCTTCTTGATTCTACATTCTAGATCCTGGAACAGGAAATCAGCACCAGACCAGCTGTGGTCTGAGGGCAAACACCCCAAGGAAGAGTTGCCAGCTATGGAACTGGAATGAGTCCACATGGGTTTTGTATGATGTGTAAATTGTTTTCCCTTGCTTGTTTCTAAAATTAGTTTTCTCAAATAAACAAGAGTAATTGTTGTAATGAAAATAACTTCTCTATAGAAGATGGATACTTCTGACTAAAGAGTGTTAGGCCTGACTGACTGGGCAATAGGACAGAAAGGAGACTCTCATGGACTATCAAGATAAGTCCCATTTAATCACACAGACTCTTAATAGGCAAAGTTGGCTGGAATCAGATGCAGAAAGTGAAAGTAGAGTATTTCAATGAATGAACATTCATTTGAATTTTCCTGTCTTTTATGAGCATTTAATTAACACGTTCCTTGCTTTAAGGCTGGAGTATCCACAATGTGAATGGCTTCTGAAAGCCAGAGAGGCAAGAAAATGGGTTCTCTCCAATGTCTCCCCAGAACAAACTATTCCTATTCCTATTAGCCCAGTGTAAGTGAATCAGTTCCAGTCTTAAATGGAGAGAACTGACGTGTGGTTTTAAGCCACAGATTTTGTGATAATTTGTTGTCCTATCTATAGGTGATATCCCTTAGTAGTTCTTTTAGACTCCTGACTGAAGTATTTTGTGTGTGTTCTCTTACCCAGCAAGTTAGTAAACCAACCCTTTCCATTCCATGCCCATAAAAAAAAATTAAAAAGGAAAAGAAATTCCATTGGCTCTGGCTTCTGTCCTTTCACCATTTTAACAGCCCTGAATTTTAGTACTAGTTGAGAGAATTAAATCCTGTGACTGTACCTGGGTGTGATGGCACATGCCTTTTATCCCAGTACTTGGGGAGCAGAGGCAGGCAGACATCTAGTGAATTAGATGTTAGCCCTGTATACCTAATGAGTTCCAGGACAGTCAAGTCTACATAGTGAGACCCTGACTCAAAACAACAAGCATTAATAATAAAACAAATCCTGTGAGCTGGGTGTTGGTGGTGCACGCCTTTAACCCCAGTACTCGGGAGGCAGAGGCAGGCGGATCTCTGTGAGCTCGAGGCCAGCCTGGTCTCCAGAGCGAGTGCCAGGATAGGCTCCGAAGCTACACAGAGAAACCCTGTCTTGAAAAACCAAAAATAAATAAATAAATAAACAAATAAAAAACAAACAGAAAAAAACAAATCCTGTGAATGAATAGTCATTAGTGAAAAGAAATCTCCAAAAAGATAAAAGCTGATTTCCCTTAAGTTTGCTCCCGTCCCCTCCCATTTGGGTGGCCAAGAAGGCACATTTCAGCATTTTAAAGCACGTCTGAATGTGGTGCCCAGAGCAGGGTTTCAGCATCCAACATGGAGATTGTGGGAACCTTTGTAATTATGACCACGGTCCTAATAGTTTCTATTAATCCACATCCTTTGATGCTAAAGTTATCAGTGCTCAAGTGTGGCTGCAGATTGCTCATTAGACTGGTCCAACTTCATGTCTCTCTTAGTTCAGCAGCTGTGTAGAGTCCCTGCAGTGCTCTGAGAGTTGGTACCATAGCAGAAAGTAGAACAAGTTGTCTACAGTTCAGCAGGGGAGAAAAACAGGTACACGTCATGTATCAGATGGTGCTTGATGCCTGGGAGAAAAAAATAAAGCTGAGAAGGGGAATGGGGGGTGTGTGTTGGATAGAAGTGATTACAATTTTAAAAACAGGTCAGGGAAGTCCTCACCAAGATGATCCATAATGACCTATGAAATAGGAGGGAAGGAGCCAGTAGTTACTTAGGGAAGAATATTCCTACCCAGGCAAGAACATACTGTATTTGAGGAACAGCCAGGAGACCACTGTGACTCGAGTGTGTGAAATGGGGCCAGGGAGGTGACAAAGCCATTAATGAAAATGCTACTGCCATGAACACACACACACACACACACACACACACACACACACACACAGTTGCAAAGCTGACTATGGTTACTTGTATACTTGTTGAAGATACTCTCCCCAAGGATGTATTGCATATCTCCAGCCCTGTGAATTTAGACATGGTCGTTCACTTCCTTTCACAATGAAAGGCAGTTGTATGTATGACACGCAAGAGGTGTGATGTCACACAACAAAACGTTAGGATTTAGGGAGAGTCTGGCAACCCCTAATCTATTTTCAGTGTGTATTTGGAATTCTATATATTGAAAAAATCGGCCGGGCGTTGGTGGCGCACGCCTTTAATCCCAGCACTCGGGAGGCAGAGGCAGGTGGATCTCTGTGAGTTTGAGACCACCCTGGTCTAGAAGAGTGAGTTCCAGGACAGCCTCCAAAGCCACAGAGAAACCCTGTCTCGAAAAACCAAAAAAAAAAAAAAAAAAAAAAAAACTAAAAAAAACATGTGGCTCTTTGTCACTATTTCATTTAACATATGTTTTCAAGGTTCATGTTGTACTAGGACCCTTTTTGTGGCTGAAAAATATTCCACCATATGAATAAAACTGTATTTTGCATAGTGATTGATGTCCATTTCAACTTTTGACTATTGAGAATAATGTTGAAATAATGTTTTGAATGCGTGTACAAACTCATGTGCCCAAACTTTTTCAGTACTCTTGGGTAGATACTTAGGAGTGGAATTGCTGGGTCTTTGATTTTTGAGGAACTTAAGTCCATGTCACCTGAACCATTTTATGTTTCTACCTGTGATGTATGACTGCTCTGATGTCCTCATGTCCTTATCAATGTTTGTTATTTTTTGATCTAGTTGTGTGATGTGTTGTCTTGTGGTTTGGGGAAAAGTTTTTATATAGTTCAAATCAACACCTTATCCCACAGGTCAGCATTTTTTTTTCTTTGAGGGAAAGACAGTATTTTAAACTTTGTACCATATCATTTCTGTTGCAGCTACTCAGCCACAAGTGACTGTAATGTGGAAGTGGTTATTGATGCTTTGTAAGCAAACGAGTGTGGCTGTGTCCAATAAAATCTTATTTGTGGACTCTGAAACTCGAATTGCCTGTAATTTTCATTGTGAAATACAATTTAAAAAGTCATTTGGCAAAATAAGGCAGGTCTTGTGGTGCTCACCCGTGAATCTCAGCACTTAGAGGCAGTGACAGATTGCCACACGTTCCAGGCCAGCAAGGACTATGTAGTAAGACTCAGTCTCCAAAATGCAAAACAAAACTATGAAAATTATTCTTTGTCCAAGCACAGACGGTTTGGACCAGCTTTTACTCAGGATCTGTAGTTTGATAGCCCCTGCTCTAGACACACTACTTAAATGGAAAGGCAAATTGACAAAGCTTCTAGTTGAGACTGTCAAGCATCTTTTGCTATTTTGGCATAGGCAAATATTTGTAAGTGAAATGGATATTGGAGAAACAAATATAGTAAATTCACGAATGTGCACCAGAAAGTCCATATTACGTTAAGTCCAAAGGCAAGCAGGTCATAGAGCCACAAAAACCCATTGAAAGTGTGGACAAATGCTTCGGATCCGTGCCGTCGTGAAGGAGGAAATCCAAATGGACAATGAATTTATGGCAGTGTCCAATTTCATTGCATGTTACGAAATCCCACGGTACTTTATTTGGATGAGACGAATACAAGTGTTGACAGGCTACTTGCATTTTGCTTGGAAGTCTCTATATAATTTCCAGGAACAGCTGCAGTCCTAGACCGTGGCCAAGATGTTCACAAGTTACTGCTTTAAAAGAAAGAGTTGGGGGG